AATAATTTTATTTATTATTAATGAATTTATTAATTTTATGTGGAGATTTTATAGAGTTTGGTTCTTCAAATATATTTGTTTATTAGAAATTGTTTGTACTTGGTTTATGCTGAAAGCCGCACGTACTTCTAGAGGAATGATGCAGTTTTCGTAATCAATGCAGTTACGTCACTAATCCGCATACGTGACAAATGGCACGCGATTGGCTTATTGGAATGCTCGCATTTCAAGGTGCACTATCCTTACACCAATGACATTAACACGGCATCGTCTCAAGACTAATATTGACAAATCAATCTTCGACCTAATTTACGCACATGCATTAATGAAAATTAAGGATTCATTTTTTTCTTTTCGTATCGCGTACTTTAAGGAGTTATTTTCTCATTGGAAAATTTACTCGGTTGTTTAAAAAATCCTGTAATGAGATGACACGCGAATCTGTAATGAGGGAACAATCATGAACCTCAATAAATTCTTAACGCACAGGAGATTCAGATCTGATAATGAAATGATTAGATAATGAGATATGAAAAACCATCCAATCTTGTAAAAAAATACAGATATTATAACGCAAGTTCCTGAGGAAAGATTTCAATTACTATGTTGAAGGACGATAAGTTTGGAGACGCATAATTACGAACCCTATAGCAATTCTGGTTAGTGGGGTATCTTTACCAGTTAATGTGATGTGGAGGAAGCCTCCAGGCATTTACAGGAGAAATTAATGATGAAATTGTTGATAAACTATAATTATGAGCAATCCATTCAAAACTAGTTGACAGATATTTGGAAGACGTTTAAATAAAAAAAAGAAATCTCCACCGCAATTGTGCGTGGAAAATTTCCTAAAATAAAATGCAAAACTCCATGTTCAAAAATAAAAAAAATTGTCGTGAAAGAAAAAGAATATTTGATTTCGCTGCACTTCATCTTCTTTTCTTCTTTTTTTATGATTATTCATCAATAGAAATCAACGTCAATCAATTTGCGAGATCAATAAAATCAATGCAATGAAATTGACGGAGATGTCGAAAGCCCTCACGAGTCGTGACGAAAATCAATCGTTTTCCATTAGAGCCCTCCTAACGTAACCAAATGATACATGTGGTTTTATCATTTTTTTTTCTGATCGACGCCACACACGACTTCACCATCTGTGCCTTTTCAACCCGATCCTTCGGAGATATGAATCGTATCGTGATGATTATGAAATTGATTACGCTCATGATGTCCAGCTGGATAAGGTATCACCCTCTTACTCCCAAGTCATGGTCAAATGGGCCGAATGAAGAAGAAAGTAACAAAGTGTGTAGAAGAGTTTAGAGTGTTCAATCGATCTGTGGAATTGAGTCTATCGATTCCCCTATCAGAGACATTACTCATGATTCGAGAAAAGCTTTATACCAAATCAATGAGTTTGACTTGTGAGAATAAATAGAATAGATAAGAGTGAATACCAAACTTTCGTGTAATTTATCATTGAACACCTCTTTCGTTTTACCGTTTATGAACATCCGGGATATTTCAATTACAACGGGTTGAATTAACCACTAGACTAGCTCCTATCTAGGGGGTCATACCATACAGACGAATAGAAAAGCGTTGCGGAATAGTTAAACATGACTACTTTTTCTTCATTAATAATTTATTTAAAAACACGAACCTTTCCCCAAAATCCGATGCTTACGAAAAAAATTCCATATTTCATTCCTCACCGAGGGATCAAACTCAATCAACTCAATATTTAATTCACCTCTCATAAAAAAATATTTTGAAAATGTATATAATATGAGTCGATATCTCATATTTTGGTGAATTTGTAATAAATTATTAATTTACAAAATATATCGTGTGCATTAAGCAAAAGGTGTGGAAGGTACACTGAAAGGGACTTTTAGTCAGTACCAAATGTTACTTGAGAGAATAAATTTTTGTTTCTGATATAATTCGACATTTTTTAAAATTCACCACTTCAATCCAATTTTTCTTTCCAACGAGCAAACACTGCGAATTAGTTAACGAGTTTTATTTCTCATGTGGCAGCGTGTGTGTTCCAGAGATGCTGACTCCACACGAGATGGTTTATTGCCGCGGCAATTGAGGTAGGTCAATACTCAAGTACTACACAGTACACATAGCCCCTCGTGTACCCGTGGAAAACTATACATAGTTTTATCCGTTGAATTCACGCCCACAGCATTGCAATCACACGTTTCCGCATTCGTGTGAAGTTGTTATTATCTCTGCAACAACAACATTGTACAGTTTAATCTATCCTCTCACAGGATATGCCACACAAGTATGTATGTCTCTGTACGCAATTTGAAAATTCGCCGATTGGGCGTGCGATCAATTGGTATTACTGAGAGAAAACCTCAGAAAGTGCAAGTTCAATTAGACTGCCAGATTCTAAGAAATTCTCCCCAGACATTTCTATAAATTTATCTATCAAATTGCCGAGAAAATTACATATCTGGATTGAATCTTCATACCGTTAATTAAACTCTCAACCATCGGATATGCGGGATCCACATCGGTTCCAATGAGGCTTCACCCTACGTTCTTACCTCGGCATCTTAGTACACGTTACGCTCCTAGTGAAAAGTCACATTAAGAGGAGTAATCGCGTGACCAGGTATAATTCGCAGATAGGTTCTCGCATGAAGTATACGTGTGGACTTGCATCCAACTTGGAAGATATGCTGGTCAAAAGAAGCCAGAGGAAGCTGAAGTGGGAGGAGAAGAAGAATATAGATAGATACCTCGATGCTACGTGATGGGCCCGTTGTAAGCCCATAACCCTTTGAACCCCACAAGTTCCGGCTCTGGCTAATCAACTTATATTTATAATGCTAGGTTGATAAACTAACCTTTCAATTCTCAGTGGTCGGCCGCTACTTTATATTTATCATTGCAATTTTTACCCTGCCACATAATTTTAAAGTGACCAACCTGACCATAACTACCCGATCTCGGATTAGTAACGGCAATTCAATTTGTCAAAAAAAAAAGTACTCGACAATGATTGATTTTCTACACCATGAATTCCCTCAATGAATCATCTCCTAGAGATGAATTTCTCATTTTCATCTTCGAGTGGAATTCAAGTGGCAGTTGATTGGCGAGTTTCTTCACGTAAGCTGTCGCGATCGCGGCAATAGATAGATTCACTTGATCTTCAGCAGCAAGCCGCTACATCCACAATCTTCGGATACAAACAGACATATACGTACTACGAAAATCGTGATGGTTACCTATAAGGCAGAGAAGTAGACGGGATCACTGATTCTCCATTATCATCAATGACATCAGAGGGATGGAAGAAGTATATCTAACGAGCTGATCGAGAACATAACTTGCCCATGTTACTTCAAGTTTCTCGGCGAATTACATGTACCGAGAAGTAAGTCGATGTGAGTAGTGCAAGTCAATGCACCGCTCACAATCAATTTAATTTCATGCGATCTCAGAGATGATGAATCATTTAATTATGATTGAATTATCATCATTCGAAAGATTATCTATTGGTGGTATTCGTCCCAGCCCGCGGATTCCTCACAATTTCGATAGGCAATGATGTCTGATGTTGCAAGGAATATGTCGATAGGATGAGAATTCAATGTTATCTTTGAAACGAACCAGGTGAGACAGAAATCACAGGAGCAAAGAAAAGGGGGCAGAAGATGATGGAAAAGTGCGTTCGATCTAGAAGGGAATGGAGTACATTGCAACGTGATATCGCAGAGCAACTGCCTAGTACAGGCTGGATTCCACGATGATTGATCCAGCGGGGATCCTGTCGTCGTTGCTATCCGGAATATTTAACTTCAATTATCCCATGATAGTAGTTGAGATTAAAGTAGTTACGCTATTGCCGTGTTGCCCGATTGTTGGTTTCTGAATTGGCGCCTTAGTACGATTCGAAGGTGTTCACTCGATGCAATTCAAATAGACAATTACTCTCTCTAAAGCAGAAAAATAATCCAATAAAAATGATTACACATTTTGATTGAAGGCCACGGACATGGGAATCGAACAGCTGTTTGAGCCTGTGGTATTAAAATAAAAAGAGCGCCAAGTAGTAAGAACTTTGTATTGACTGCGAGAGCGAGTAAGAGAGACTTGCATCCGAATGACGGTATACCACTGGGATGCATCCGTGGATTTGGGCTACTTAATGGATCACGCCAGTATAACCAGTGTATTCTTGGATGAGACCGCCCAGTTGCGTTCCAATCGTTCTTTATGATCATCAAATTCGCCAACTCTAAAAGAAACACTGCGTAATGCGATCGGTTTGTTTACTAATTGATTAGTCAAACTCAGGGAAAACTCCAAAAGCCGATTGCAATGAGATTATCTTATACAGATGATAATGAGATTAATTTACTCACTGTAATCTGAAGTGTCATCATTGGATCCATTGACAGTACCATCCGACAGTATCTGGAGGTGACGATTTTTAATGTACATCCGTATTTTTCTCGATGCCCCAGTGATGTGTGACAAATTGGCTGACCTCTCGGCCCGGATGCCAGCGTCCAGCTCTACGGGAGCTGCCCCGACTACCCCGAACAACGTACCAATAGTAGCTATCCTTAAACTCGATTTCACTACCCTCGTGTGTCCAATCACAATGAGCAACAGTAATAGCACAAACTCTATGTAAAATAGTCTCTTCGATGGCCATTTAGTCTTTTTCTTTTCAGCATTAAATTTATAACGTGTATCCACAAACCATCTTTTAATCACTCCGCATTGATGATCGGTATGTCCATGCGAATTGAGATTGATATATCTACGATTATCCGATGATGAAAAACATTGACTAGATATCTCGGAAGGCTCTGACGATCCTTGTAGGTCTGTCTCCACGACACCCAGGCGAAATCGAGGATCGGCCTGTGATTCAGCCGAATCTCCCCGATTCCACTGATGATTTAACGTTTCTGTCTTCCAGTCAAGAAAATTCTGATGGCTCTTCACGAGCTCGTTGTTATCATTGGTGACAATGATTTTTTCCAATACTCTTCTCCGCGACCAATCTCTGCTCTCTTTTCGTTGTACCTGCCACAACTCCCTCGGAAGTCCGTGCCACCAAGTCCTTTTATTTTCAACACCAGTATTATCATCTTGAGCGAGCTGCACCGAGTTGTCCTCCTCTTGGGTGAAGATCGATTTTGGACCGTCGGAATAACGATGCAGCACGCTTGGCCCGCCCGTATCGATCTCACCGGGCATGACGCTCTCATCTACCCTCTTATTTTTTTCTTCTCTATCCCGTTATTTTAATGTCGGCAATCAACACGTTGACAGAGTTTTCAATTTTGAAAACCGTTGAAATATTTTGCGGCTGAATAACAATGATCATTTCAGGAGAATCGCGATAAAGTTGGCTTCCGTATTGCTTCTTCTGCGAGACAAGCGTATCCAGGGGAAGAGGACAGTGAACAACACTGTCGGCTCAACAACAACCGAGCCCTTCTTTTCTTCTGCTCTCGCATTATTGCGATGTCGATTTAACAAGTTAGAAATTTTCATAAGAGAAAAAAATAAACGTCAAGAAAATAAAAAGGATTGATCGGATTGATGAAAGCTTTGTCACTCTTGAGAAGACATTCAGATATTTATTTAGTAGAACTTTCAGGAAAGCCTAATGAATTATCCGTTGTTCAATCGATTTGATTTGAAATCGAGTTTAATCATTCCGGAGACTCGTCTTGCCGCAATACTGACGACTTCCTAGTCTACCAGTGCCGTCTGAGTTACGATGCCACCTCCTCTTTCTTTTTATGTTTCAATAGGATATAGACAGGTGGTATGTTGCTGGTGCATTGCACAGTACTAACTTCCTCGACTACCAGTTACCTTCCAACGACCTCGCACTTCCCTACCTTCTACCCACGGATATTGCACTTGATATTGTCCCTCTCACTTTATCAAAGATGATCTTCCTCGATCAATCGCAAGAACATAACCGTCCACCACGTCCCCTGTTTCACCTTAACGGGTCTTCCTCTTTCCTCTTCCTCTCTCTGTTTTCGTTTCACACCGATGAGATATGTAATATACCAAATGATTGCACCATAATCAATATAAATCAAGCATGACTACCAATGATCTAATACAACAGCAGTCAATTACGAGCGATCAATCACCCCCAAGACAATTCAACGTTCACACATGTTCACTCACAACAACACACATCACTTGTCATTCACTATTAATAATTCACTCGCGTGTCGCTGAGAGTGCCAACGAGATAAGACACACAGATCATTGAACTAATCAAGTGTAATGACGTTAAAGTGATATCTTTACAGGCAAAATTGTAAACCGCCCTTACAATAAAAAAAATTTGCATGGAGCAATGAGAATGGTGATTATGAAGATAAGAGAAATGGTGATGGAACAATTGGAATAAGTGATTGTAATGTGATATGAAGGGGGTGGGCACTCAGATAGGCACTTGAGGTTTGCAACTGATCAGTGTTTATCTTTCTCTCTCGGTTGATGGAGGTTGGATGATGCCGGTGTGGCGTCCGAGAAACTACTGAACGAGAGCCGCGCGGTTCTCTTCTCCGGCGCGGTTCGGGCCACTTGGTCGGTTAGCTCTCGTGTCGGGCCACATGGATGCGCGCACGAACCTCTCACGTACTACCAATACACTCAAATTTATACATTAAACATACACATAGATAGGCCATGAGTTAACTTGAGAAGGCTATTGGATGGCAATGTTGTGGACAGAGGTAAGAAAAAGTAGTTCAGTTGAGCTGCACCAAGCACCATGCACCAACTGCAACCGCAACATCTACTGTGTCGCCAAACGCTACCTGCATACCCAGGAACAACACTCAGCCTTCTCCAACCTCCTCAACTCTACCAACACATCACGATTCTCTTCCACTTTTGGTGATAACTTCAGCTCATTATCTGTCACCTGTCATCATCAGCAATTTTTTTATTATCAATTGTATCCCTTTAATTTTTTTTCTGGAAGAACTTGCGGTAGCTGGAACTTGATCGTACTTTTAATTATTTGTGAGCTACTTCTCCCTCCGGTTTTCATATCCAACTCTGGATCCCCTTGGAAAGCTCTCATTTCTCGCGGGTTGATCACTACTGTATTCTCTCTATTCCTGGAAGCTCGTCACATCCTCTTCAAGTCCCTTTTAATCCATTCGATTTAGCCCTTTATCCCTTGGCGTTTTGTCCCTGGGATTCCACCTCAAGTCGAGGGCGAATCGGTGACTCGTTCCTCTACCCCTCCACTCGCCGGTCTGTAGTTATTTTCGGAGCTTTTGCTCTAGCTGTCAACAGAAAATGGAATTTTTATTAAATGATGAAGAAGTTTATGAATATCATAACCCATCGTTTAATATTCGGTGATAATAGGAGATATTCTATTAGGAGGAATGGAAGAGCGGTAGCTCGGTTTAGTTTTGTCTTTCCCAGTACTACCCTGAGCTTCCAGATTACACAATCGACCACGACCGTTTTTCTGTTCCATTTGGGTACAACAGTCGTTCGTCATCCCAAGAAATGTTATCCATGGTGGTTCCTCCCAATGACAGTCGCTATCCGTATAAAACAAGTTGTCAGCGTTGTAACAAGAAACTTGAACAAGGCGATTCCACGGTTAAAACTAAAAAAGAGGGAAATGTATTTTCAAGGCAGTAGCTGTGGTGATTAGAAGGCGCCAGGGACCCAGCAAGAATTTTCACTCAGAAAATTCTTAGCCGGGTGATAATGTCAACCATAACATTTTCAAATTAGTGCGAGAGGAGGGAATTTCTGAGAAGAAAGGAAAAAAAAAAAGCTAGACCGAGGTATGGGTTTCAGGGGACTGTTAATGGGATGACTTTATCTAAATCCCTAGCATGGGTCGGCACTACAGTACAGCATTACAGTTGAGCCCTGCAAGGTCAATGAGATCATGAAAGAAGAAAAAAAAAGAAGACCGCCCAGTAAAACGCTTTTAAAAGCCCGTTCACCTAAGAAGTACACTGTAATCACATTTTATCTTGAGTGTAGTTTTAAAGAAATTAAATTCTTTAGAATTTAAATTATTTTTACTGAGCGACACCCCTCCCCCTGGGAAGACACAATTACCCATGAAGTGCTTTTTGAAGATTGCAAAGGCCTCTCGACATCCCTTTCACAATTTAATTAAGAGAGATTTGAGATTCCCTCTTGTTACTTCAACGAGTAAGTCTTCTCTAGCATTCGACTCAACCCTACATTTTGTTGGTGATCCAATGGCAAAAATTTCCCAGGGGGAGGAGCCCCAGAACTCTAGAGTGGTAAAGCTCAGGCAATTATCTACATTTCGTTGAACCTCTCACGAAAACTCGTACAGCGCGAATATACGTAGGGGAACTTTTCATCTCAGAGGGTGTGATGAAGTTTCATTGGGCTTAAGTGATCGAAATGGAACTGAGAATTTTATAGTACGTTCTTGATAAATATTTCTGAAGAGGCTCTCAAGTCCTCAAACCCCACTTCCACTTCATCATTGATCCTGCTTGGAGTCAAAGAAGTAAATTCTAACGAGATTATATCTTGTTACGCTCCTCAGCATCACGGGTGCGCCTCAAAAAAATGTACAGAATAGAATGAAACTAAAGTGAAATAAACTTGACAATTATTTCGTGCGAAGTGAAATAATTTTCATCCCTGTCAATGAATAATTGTGGCAACGCAAAAAAATAACTTTCACCGATCAGTAATTCGGCAATGCACCCCAGTAATTCCACCTCAAATAATTCTTCAGTAATCCAGAACTTTTATTTAATTATAAAATATTAATGATTCAATTGATGGCTGATTGAGCAATGAAATGAATGAATGTCCTCGTTTAATTATTATTTAATAGCTCAGGTGAGATTGGCTGACTCGATTGCATTTGTATCGCTTGAGGTTTGACTTTTTATCGAATAATCAATGCTGATTTTTTATGCGGATGTAATATGACGTCGAAACAAAAATATCTTAGGAAATCCAGAGGGCGTGTCAGGCCCCAAATTACCTGAGAATCAATTCCATTAATTCTCATCTCAATTTGACACTCGACGTCTGTCTCGATTATAGAACTAACTCGATCAGCCTGCTCCATGGCGATCCCCCTGATTATGACTGATGATATACGAATTTTTATATTATTTTCTGAGCCAATGAGAAACCCCGTCGCGTGGTCCCACCTTTTTTTAACACATTTTTTTTTTTCAATAATAGGTACATGAATGGGTTCCACTTTCATTAGTTATTCAGACTGCTTAATTGAGTATCCATCGCATCATTGTTCATAATATATTATAATGATGGGTGCATGTTCACTTCCATTTTGTCTAACGCCGTGAAGATTATGTTATAATCATTCTTTCAAGTTCTTCAGCAAAAGGCGTGGACAGGGCGTTCATGCGGAAGATAAAACCCGCTCTTTTATGGTGAACGGTCGGGGGGTCATAATAATTCTGAATATGTTGTGTTCACATAATAAAAATATGAAAATAACATAATTTTTCACGGAAGCTCGTTATCCGCCGTTCAGTGCAGGTCCATTGTTTTAAATAATGACGACTCAACCGAAATTCCATGTAGCAAATGCTACTGCTATGTTTACAATAAAATTTCTAAAACCACGAAGAAGAAACACGAAATTATCAACATCGAGAAATATTTTCTCTAAATGTTATAAAATTCAAAGTTATAAAATTAAAATCCCTAAAAATCTGAAAATAAGTGGATCAATAATGAATCATTTAAATCTGTACACATCTTAGTTTCATGCTTGGATTTTCAAATTGATCATTCCAGTTGGCGATACTTCCACTGAAAAGAGAATGAAGATTGAAGTGCTGATAACATTCCCATGAGATTAAATCGTATCGACGTGAAAAGTCGTATTAACCGAGGGAGCTACTCCAATTTTATAGTATAATAATAGTGCGGTGTGAAAATAATGTTTGCTTATCCTACCTCCAAAGGTTTTTTCGCATCAACCCGACAGGTTGACGAGTATTAATCGTCGCCAAAGTGAGTCAAGAAGTCTTGTGAATAAAAAACAGAGGGAATATGGCATGGAGGTTACCCACTGGATAATAATCGAGCGCATAATTTTGTCTGGAGGGCACACGCGGTGTTCACGGGCCTCAAATGTTATCCTCGGTTGCCTCCCTACCAGCCTAGTTAGCCAATAAAAAAATCCACGTGGGCATGAGCGAGACTACCCGAAAGTAATTTCATACACTTTTTTTCCATTTCAGAGTGTAACCAGACCGATCATCGTAATAACGATAATTACCTCGTTGTGGGTTCAACGCAAATGCCTCTCGGCAGTCATCCGTTTTATTTTTTCCGTCATTTTTTTATTCTCATATTATTGTGATTTTCACATTATTTCGATGCTTATTAATTCAGATCGAATTAATCAAGAACACGTGTGCCGATCCACTCACAAATTAATCAAAATACTGGAACAAGGGTTCTTATTTCAAGATAAATAATATTGCTAACTGTTTCTCCACTCAATTTCCGGGAAAGTTGTATAATTTTTCTTCTTTGGTTTAAGGAAAAAAAAAATGCTTGAAGCGATTCCATCTCCACTACCGAGTCGCTTGTTTCGAGAAATTCCGCCAACTTTTTGATTTTTTTTTTCGCCATTCCGTTGAATCATCTTGAAATTGACGTGAAAGAAATCTGAATTGGTTCTGCAATCAGATATGCGGGATAAACTGTCTGTAATACAATCATTTGATCAAGAAGAAGAGACAGACCATGATAACTGTGGGTGGTTGTTGTCTCACCCAAGACGAAGAAGTGTCAGGAATAGTCAAAATCATTTTCTGTTGATTCATATCAATCGGCCCATGCAACCACAGAACCTCCCATGAAGAACATCAAGATATTCTCCCACATTTCTCTCATCCTTCCTCATCAGTGTCCAAAATTGTGCAATCAAAAATTCATTAAATTGCCCCAAAATGTCCGTTACTTTTTCTTATCAGGATTATTAATTCTTATCAGGATTGAAAGGGTAGACTTAAAAAGAATTGAAGGATTGGGGTAGAAATAATCCAGACACTGGGTGTCCAACTCTGAGACAAATAAGGCACATTTACCCTAGCTTCATGTCATGCTGCATCCGTCCGACTTTTATTGATGAAAGAATTATAAAACGAGGGTAAAAATGCAGATGAAACCGAAAACTTCAACCCAAAAGAGGACGAAGAAACGAGTGGACATTCATTTGCTCCAGTGGCGGGAGATGGTAGGGAGATACCAAGTTAAAGAAATAATAAAATTCAGTAAACGAATCGAAAAATCCCCTGGACATTTCACAGAGACAACCTGTAGCTTCCTCCTCCACATTTTCCCTTCCCTTTTTTTTAGTGATTAATGTCGCGAGAAGATATAGATGACTCATGAGCGCAGAGGCGTTCAGTGTCAGAGAAAACCGACTGGATTTAAGTGTTAGAGAGAGACTCGATTGTCACTGGACCGTGCTGAGGTCTGTTGCTTCAAGCCCCATGTAAACTCACGTTTTTTTATATATATAGATGGACCCTAGAAGGTACATCGCTTCTGAGGATCCAGCGGCATCAGATAACGATGAAAATCACTGTTATTTATCGTGAAATGTTATTGAATTGTTCTCAACCTAGAGGCATTTTCCTTTTTGCATTATTAAGGAATTATCGATACCCAAA